TAACAGACTGTGGGGGTAACATACTGTGGGGGTAACAGACTGTGACTTACCTGTTACTTCGTGAGGAACGTACTAAGCAGACTAACATGGAGAGTCTCAAATGTCTGATTGTTGATCAGCAAATGTTCATTATACGAGTAACGACTAACGAGTGATTCAACAGTTCAATGAGGTCCAAGTTTTCAGCTAATTGACTTACTTTGAGGACGTCTTATTAAAGAATGAGAATGATAATGATTTTACAAATCGTTGTAAAAGGCTTATTAGCATATTATATAGTTATATCTATTTGAACGGCTTCTGTTTTAGGATATTGAATAAATTTGACAAATTTTTGTGGACTTTGTGGAAACAACAGAAGATATTGTTGAAAATTAATTTAACATCGAACATGGCATTCATGGCAACTTCAGGTCACCTTAATTTCATGGAATGAAGGTGACTTGCAGTTACCAGGTGGCAAATCAATTATAAAGGTGCGTGATATCTCACGTTCATTGTTAAATGATGCTTTAAAGCAGCAGCAGCTGCTGTTACCAAGATACGGGAAACTTGATACAGTAGATCAGGAAATTAATTAAGTTAATACGCTCACCGAAATTGCATGAGGTTAAATGAACTTGCTCACGAAGCTCTGTGATAACTATAACAAGGATCATGAGTCGGAAATCATGAGTTGTCGAGAAGGATTGCGGCATATTCGAGTGAGATATTTGAAGCATGTATGAATATTCACGATATCCTTTATATATTATCCTTGATAAGAAAACAGTACAGGTCAAAAGCACGAACCGGAAAAGTACAAAACTGAAATTCTCGCACAGCGATCACAGACATTAGTCTAATTATACTGTCATCAAGAAAGACAAAAGCAAGAAGACGATCCCACCTCTCCAACCGACTGTAGTGACTAGTCGTTCGTAGCACATCAGTATTCAGGCAAACTTCTGCGTCTAAATCTCTAAATATATATTACATTATTGTATTATGTTGGTGAGCGTCGTTTTCTACCTCCGGGGAAATTATCCTTTGTTATCTGAATGATTATGAGAACTGGATGGTTTTCAATCTATTTGACAAACAACACTGTGGTAGAAGATCAAAGTGTTAGGTGTCTCAGTCTACAGTCAGAAAATAGACAGAGAATAAAAGAATTGGTAAGCAACATCTTTAAAACTGTGAACAAACCACTGAGAGATACTTGAGGATCACGTGAACACTGGACAGAGGATTTGATTTTCTGTTACAGATATAAACAATGTAACAGTTAGAGCGTATCAGTACAAGGCAAGAGATATCACATCCGCTAGACAATGCGTTACGTTGGTACAATAATCCTCGGAACAAGACAAAATCAGTCAACTCTTTAATAGAATTTCCAGGTATAATTATGGGATGACTATTGAGTACGCCGTTACAATTACATCAGAAATTAATAGACACCGTCACGATACGCAAATCTACAATTCTCACGTGCTGGATTCTGGAATATCTGATGGAAATTATTGATTATTGCCTCGGTCACAGTAGGCGTTAGTAGTAACGTGAGTGGTAGCGCGAGTAAAATAACAGAAAAGTTGCTAAAAGCCGGGACTCGCTAAACGGTCCATGATATCAATGCAGACGAAATCAAATCTCAATCTCCGTCAGAGACAGGTGCTCTTCAATATTGGAAATAAATCGAAACAGACGCATTAAATCGATTAGAAGCATGGCAGATTGGATATGAAACGATTTGCCGATGGTAACGTGACATTTTTCAGTATTGGAGCACTGGTTTTGTGTCTAAACGTGTAAAGTGTAACATAGTTAAGCAGATCGTGAGTAAAGTGCACGTGGGCACAGTCTATTTCACCCCACGTGACATATGACTGACACGTGACTGAAAATTTGGGAGTTGATATCATGAACTAATGATAATGTCATGTATACCGACAATCTTTCAATCTACCGACAACGTTATTTTTACCTCATCTTGGAGAGATCGCTTCACTTTGGCTCATGGGTAATATTGTATGAGCTATCAATCACTAATACTATTGATAATAATTTTGATTTGAGTATACTTCAAGAAGAATAACAAAAACTGTATCGAAACGAGAAAGAACCAATAATTCCATCTTAAGGATGTTATAGTGTTATGCGTTAAAAAACACGAACGAATAATTCAATTCAACCATAAATAATCTAATAATGTGGCTCCATAAAAGTAAGAAACATGTTATATATGTTGCGGGTTGCCATGGGGTGGCAAGTTCCCAATTCCCATGCGTCGTGGTCCGATAGTTTTATTGCGTCTTTAATATAAAGGGATATATTATGGTGATGTAATCTACTCAAGTTTTCACCCCATGAAGTGACGGCCATTACGACATTACATATGATGATACATTGTACATACAAAGAACTTTCTATACATTTTATTTGATTCACGATAAAGGCTAAGAAAAATTGGTCACGAAAAATGTGATCGGAAGTGAATAGTAATCAATTCGAAATATATGACGCTTTGCACTTTTAAAAAGCTGGTTGAGATGTTCAATTTTCAGAGAGGCGGCCGAAATAAAAAAATTGGCTTTAAAATCGTTTGCCCGGACTGTTTTTGGGCGTTTTTTAATGCAATCACCAATATCATTAATACAGAGGCATGTGAAATATCTCAAATATGATAATTTAAGAAGATAATTAACTTCTATTCATGAATTAAAAATAGATGCTAGAAATGGCCTAAATGTTCACTCGTGCAGTGTGATAGTTAAAAGAACTCGTTGAAAATATACCCAACAACTACGAATGTCAACTGCACTGATGGCTAATGATGAATGGTAAGAATGAGTCGCCATAGAAATTGCCATAGAAAAACTCACGCCATAGAAATTATCACATTTTTGATAGAATTATATGTACAAATGACCTGATCGCTGACACTATTAAAGATCCCTTTTAAAACAGTCCCATTCAATTAATTATAAATCCAGTGAGATGATTATATCTCTTACACAAACTAAATCTTGACACAAACGAACACACATCGGGTGGTAAGATAGTATCAGGCTATGGCTATTCGGTATTCAAAGGATTATTCATTGTTCAAACCATTTTAACCGATTTCATTTATGCGAAAATACATTCAAGTTCGTTTCATCTGAATTCTCCAAATTAATTCTCCAATTCCGCTCTCCTGTTGCATACAACGCTATGTAATAAGTATATAGACTCATTGTTAAATTGTTTTAATTAAGTGAATAATTTCATTTCTGTCTATCGCAGTTTTAATAGAAAATAAATTAAACTAACTAACTAAATCGATGAGGTAAAGGCTCCGATTCGAATAAAGCTCATTGATATTAATTAATGGGATTGAAATTTGATGTTTCTATTTCAATTAAGAGAATTATCGCAGATGAAAGACGAGAAGTTTTAATCGAAGAAATGACAACTTATCTTATAATTGATCGATTAATTATCGTAAGTATAAATACTTTGGTGGGGGATAAACAACATCATATCTGATTCAGTCATTTACAACAGGACAACTCAGTTTTCTTGTTTGTGCTCTTTTTTCGAAACTTTTAGACATTTATTATTAAATTGTCTAGTTAACAAATTTATTTTCCTTCTATTTTTTTCTAAACTTCGAGTTGATTACATACTACCATAACTAACCCCTTAACTCTTTAGAAATCACTCTAAAAACACCAACATGTCTTCTGAACTGGATCAACTGAAAGCAACCCATGAAGAACTCAGACTTCAGAAGAGAGCTATCGACCGAGAGACCGAGGATACCAGAACCAAGACTATCGAGGACAAACGAGTAGCTGCGGCTGAGATCGAGAAGCTACAACTGGATCTGGAGTCCTTGAAAGAGGAAAGCGCAGCTCTTAACGAAAAGAACAAAAATTTAGAAAGCAACGTAGCAAATCTTAAACTAGATCACGAGGAGAAGAAGAAGAAACAGGAGGAAGATTACGACAACCAGAGACGTGCCAAGCAGAAACTGCAGTTCCAGGAAGCTAAACTTTGCACCAAGAAAGTGAATATTGAGAAGAAATGTGACCCAGTTGAAGTACATAAACTTCAGATCGAAGAACTTGAAAAGGAGGTGGAACACAACAAAAACGAAAAGGAGGAGGTTAAGAAGATCTATGAAACTGAGATGAACAAATTGGACAACATTCTTTCTAAAGTAAATTTCCAGAAGAAAACCTGGGAGAAGAAAGTTCAGGTTGCAAGAGAACAGCTCCTGAAACTGAACGCTAACTGTATCAATATCAGGGAATCTTCCAGGAAGGAACTCTTCGAGAAAGATCTGCTTCTCCAACGTTTGGTTCTGGATACAAACAGGTGCCTAAAGTCTATCCCTGAACTTGAGGCAAGCACAGCTGTTCTCGAGAAAATGATCAAAGAATAGACGCTTTTATTTTTGTTGTGGATAGAATAGAATGAGTCGGACAGAGCTTTATGAATGTATTTTTCAGATTTATACTTAGTAAAAGTTGTCGATTTGACAATTTTTGAGATTATAGGTATTGTATTTGACGATTTCTATACAGGGTGAAAAGTCGCGATGTCTTTTTTCTTATTATGATATTATATCTATTCCTAACATTTATTGATCATTTTGCAGCTAAACTTAATAATCTAGTCTTTTATTGTGAATCCAGACATAATCATTGTAAAGTCCACAATGATCAATTGTGACTCTACTCAATTAAACGACCAACAAATATTTGAAAGTATCCTGGTATGTAACAGTAACTTCAACAACCCAACAAAAATTAAGCCAATAACCAACTCAACATCTCAACTGCTCAAGTTTGGTGCCGCCCCAAAGATATGACAGTTTTGTAAATTTGAAGTACAGGACAATTAATTTTGCTAATGATCCATTCATTTCATAACCATGTAACTGGAACATTAGCGAGCAAAATGTTTAACTAGTTTAACCAATTCGCAAAATATTAGAGTTACTTCATTACAAAACCGTAAAGACTTACGTTCAATAAGAACTGTATAGGGATGGGCGTAGTTTGATCTTCAGGTTGTTGTACACCATTTTTATGTACACCGTTTTCATGTAGAGATTCATCAGCTGAACCACTGTTTGATTGAAACAAGTCCCTTAATTTGTCCAGATCATCTGCAGAAAATACATTCATTAGATTATAAAGTATTCAACCTTAACTCTACAATTCAAGGAATGAATTTATACGAATAAGAAATTTGTATGTTCGTTAAAACGGCTATAATCAGTTCAAATATATTTACCATTTAAAGCAGTAAACTCAGAGCAAGATCTCCTCAGACCTATCAAATCAGATCTGAGCTCCCGGATCGTCTGAGATTGATCTTTCAGCGCTGATTGTACCTGGGAAGAAGGCAATTAGAGTAATTACTTTAATTAGGCACACGAACTAATCAGTCTGGAGATAAAGTTTCTGTCAGTTTTTAAATGAGACAATATAGCTATAGCGTACTTAGTATTTTGTGTCAAAATATAACGGCAATAACGACATGCAATTAGAAGCGCGAGAAATTAAAGTGATTATAGAGGAATCTAGAGAAATCTCCTCAGGAATGTAATTGAAGGTGGTCCTGACCTGGTCCTGATTATCAGTGCTACCAGTTGAAGTGGTTTGTGATGTCTTGTCCAAGAGGAGGACCGGAGGAGGGGGAGATCCAGTTCCCTGAGTGTAAAACATGGGATCAACATTTACACTGGTATCAAACTGACAGTTTTGTGACAGCTCATGAAGCGGAGATTCTCCATTAAACAGCTGTTCAGATGTAAATGGGGAGCAGGTGTAAGCTGTGTTATATTGTTATGCATATTAAAAGCTTATTCCGAGGTTATTAGGTACACCACCAACTTTAAAGGAATAATTGTAGTCATATGTCTGTTATATTATACAATAAGGGATTTGAAGTCTTGGTTATATGTAACAGAACCGGCAGACAATCAATGATTTGTACGAATCACTATAATTTAAGTGGATCGAGAATAAATAACAGTTTTAACTAACCATGGCACTGGAAGAATCAAGATATCTCTTGAGCCGGTTGATATAGATGTGTGACTGGTGCAAGTCTTGTTGGACTGAGTGACTTTGTTGCAGCTGAAAGTTATAGATCATTAACCCAGGCCATGTTAAAGTTTTGATGTAACTCTTTTGTTAAGCCTGTATAAGTAATGATCATAGCTATCATTAGATCGAGTACACTTCAACTGAACTAATAGAGCAACTCACCCTATGGTTAAAACAATATTATGGTTAATTGTGTCCTCTAGTAGTATAGAATAAAGGGGCCCTAGTACACACTGCCATTAATATAAAGTAATATGATCTGAGTGGCACATCACTATTACTCACCGGACAGACTTTACCTAGCATTATAATATTACGTTTACATCTAAATAGTGTGACTTGAGAGCATGGATAAAAGTTCTGGATTTATTAAACAGGTGACATTACACAGTTAAGTGACGGTTGAGTGCCAAGATTTGTCGCTCAGTTACAAGAATTAAGGGTCTTACCCTGGCCTCGTTCTGTAACGCTTGCTGTTCCATGAACTTCTTTTGTGCCTCCAGCTTACCGACCTAGTTAGAGTCGTCATAATTACGAGTTTATCTGCTGACAAGAAAATACACTGAATCTCATGCAAGACGAATACAATGGTACATTGCATGCAAAATTAGCTCAATGAATCAATACATAACATTAAATTGTATTTTTGTCGAAATTTAATTCTCAACCTCATGGCTCAAGACTCCGTGATCATGCTTGATGAAACAACCGCGAATACTAAATATTCAACTAATAATGTAATGATATATATATCGCTGTTTCTGTTCAAACGAAGTTGAGTTACAAGTAATGAAGTTAAATCAAACCTTTTCAGAGAGTTTTTCAATTTCTGCTTTAAGATCCTTAATTGTCTTTGGGTACATTTCAAGTCTATTATTAAGGTGGTTTATTTCCTCCATCATCGCTTCATTGTGACGGGAAATCTCCTCAGAACCAAGTTGGATCTTTCTTATCTCAACGTTCTTATCATTTAACTGAGATTATGGGTGGAATTTTCATAAATTTATAAAAAGGGAATTTTTAGTCACTGTATCTATGTATTCAAAATAATTCCATGGTTTCTCTAAGATATAGATCCGAATTCCAATGTGTGCTCATACGATAAATTAGACAACAACAAATTGGAAAAACTGTTTATAATTTTAAAAATCAAAACAAATTACCTTAAAGAACGACAAATTTAGTCTACCATAAAGTTAGTCAAACTTTTGACTAAAATTGTTGTAAACCAAATTTCATGAGACTAAATTTTTCGGTGACTGATTTTAGAGCAGACAAAAATTTCAGTAGAGCAAATATGACATGAATGTTATTAAGCTTACATTCCTACTGCACAAAACCGTACCAAAGTCATATTGCACTTAACGGGTTAGAGCTCCTCTTGGACGTTACATTTTTAATCGATCCATCCCAATGCATACTCTGTTGAAACGGCTGAAGGATCATCTCGACATAGAATACGTCGTACCGACAAAAATGGTTAAGTCGTAAAAGGGTGAAAAAGGAACTGAACAGTGTACTGAAGAACTTAGTGATACAGAGTCACAAACTCTGGATCTGATGTTATTGAAATTCCTGAGTAATGCATTGCAGCTTAATGATAATCTTTAATGCTCAGACGGGGTAGACTAAATTTTTCGTTCTTCCAAATGGAATGGAAAATGGTCTCGAAAAGTTGAAAAATGTGACTAAAATTGTTGTAGACTAAAAATTTGCGAAATTTTTGACTAAAATTATGGTTACCAAAATTATGGTAACCAAATTTATTGTGAACCAAATTTATTGGCCCTAAGGTACCTGCTTTTCTAAGTTTTTACAGTACATCTGCGATGAATTGTAAAGGTCGTTTATATCGTTTGCATCGTTTGCATCGTTTATATCATTAAAATTTGTTTGTTTACTGAGTATCTCTTCTTCCTTTTTGTCGTTTTCACCTAGGGTCAGGTATGTTTGAAAACTTACAAATGAGCTAAACTAATGTACATTTTGCAAAGAGGTGAAACTACTGCATATCATTTGTCTTTTGATGTAGCCATTATCAATGGTATGTTAAAAGAAACGATACGTTTTGTTATATCTCAAAATCAAATTTAACTATTGTATTACTTACCGCTTTCTTTAAGATAGTATAAGCTCATCTTGGCTTTAAATTCAGCTTTCTGGGAATTTATGACAGTATAAGAATTGGTTGTTGAATTTTCTAAATTCAAAAGGATGAAAGCTCATATGAAGAGAAAAAAACTACGTATGGTGCATACCTGAAGCAAATCGATGAGATATCTACTGTGATCCATATCAAGACTCTGTGACTCTTTTGAAATTCCACCACTAATGCTTAATTGTTGATACATTTCCTAACAAAAATAAACGAGGTTGTGCTCAATATATTGATTTGAATAATCATTGAAAATAGTATTATTGAACACAATTTAGGGATAAAAGAGCTAGAACCAATGAAGATTCTCTTATCAGCCAAGCCCTGATATACTGGGATCTTCAAAAATGCAAATATCCCCGGTAAATTGGGATCATTTCGTCTTGAATCACAATATATGCATGTACAGTAATACCCCGATTCACTGCAGAGTTTGGGAGAAAGGAAAAAGCTGCTGTAAATCGGGGTTTGCGATAAATCAGGGTTTTGATTATATGCAAATTATGTATGCCCTATTTGGGGGAAGAAAATGGCTGCAGTAAATTGGGGTTTGCTGTAAATCGGGGGAATTAAATCGGGGTTTTACTGTACATTGTATACACTATACTTACAATTAAATATCAGTGGCCCCCGAATTTTTAAAAAAGAAGAAAATAAGAATGGGCTGATTGAAATAAATGATTTTATTTTGTTTAAGCTGACAGTCCCGTTGCAATGAGGGCAGTATCGAGATAGCCCGACCACTGGTCCGCGGACCACTGTCCGCGGACCACTGTCTGCGGACCACTGTCTGCGGACCACCCTCATCGTCTCCAGAGCCAACCCAAGCTTCTGCGTTTTCTGCAACAAGAGGCATGCTGGTATATCATGCGCTGCTCATGACCCTGTAGCATCTTCTGATGCCGGAGGTCTTGCTAACTCCTTTGCTCATGCTCCTCGTGTCCGCTCCAAATGTAACAACTGCGTTGTTATGAATGTCCACCGAGAATCTTCAGTCCTCGATGGGATCCTACATTCTACTACAAAAAAGATAACAAAGCTTTGTCCTGAGCATCAACTCCCGGACTCCATTCCACCAACTCCTCAAGACACGATAGATAGAGACAACGCTGAACCCTTCAGCAGCAGTTGTATGAAGGTCTTGAGAGCGAGCTTCTGTCCAGAGAGGATGCTGTCTGTTCTAATATTCTTGTACTTCTTGCAGGGGGAGCAGCGCCATATCAGTCCATCTGGAGACTTCGAGGACGAGCAGGGAACCAGGGACATAGATGCATTACACCCAGGACAGGACATGGAGCTCTTTAGGAGGTTTTTCTGGAATAGGAAGTCTCGAGCATTCTCTAGGGAGGCGGTGGGTCCATTAATTTCGTCCATTAGACAGAAGAGTACCATGTCAGGAATTGGAATAGTTGTTGTTGTTGATGATGGCAACTGATAATACTTCACCAAAAATGAACGACTTATATACCACATTTTAATTGTAATCATTTATTTCATTGAGCAATCAATATTATTCGTAACTAATTATATCCGAGAGACCACATTTGAATCGTAATCAATAGTTTGATCCAGTAATTTACTACGCTACAATTAATTATGCTAGTCGTAACTAATTGCATCCAAGATACCATACATACCATTCATATGATCTGGTAACCAATCAACTATTCACAAACACCTGTTGCTTGATTCAGGGGATACTGTTATTTAAATACAGTAATATGATCTGGTAGACAGTGGTCCGCGGACCACGTTCCGCAGACAGTGGTCCGCGGACCGTGGTCCGCGGACCGTGGTCGGGCTATCTCGATACTGCCGCAATGAGGGCGTCAGTCCAAAGAAAACCAGCAAACCAATCAGCGCACCTCATATTGTTGTGTGGTAAGACATGTGAGAACGAGGATAAGATTTGCAATCTTGAGAACGACTCTTATTGCTCACCCCACGAAAAACCTCACCGAACCTCCACGCGGTGTGTGGTGGGTGGCTCGAACGGGAGGTGCATGGGTGTTTCTAATCTATGCAAAGGAAGGGACTAGCCATCTTTACATCAAGGAAAGGCTCTAATAGCCTCTACTAACCTTAGAACCGCAGCATAACCGCTTTTCCCTCAGGCAAATAACACCTTCCACAGGAAACTAACACGCTCACAGGCCCCCGCATGACGTGTAACCCCAGGATTTGGTTTTGGATCGGACACTGAAAACAACGATAGAGGAGCGGTCTACACGCTCACAGGCTACCATGTCTCGTGTAACCCCAGGATTTGACACGTTCACAGGCTACCATGTCTCGTGTAACCCCAGGATTTAGCACGCTCACAAACTACCACGTCTCGTGTAACCCTAGGACTCACTTAACAGACTCTAACACGCTCACAGGCTTCCACGTCTCGTGTACCCTAGGAGTCGGTTTTGGATCGGACACTCAAAACAACGATAGAGGAGCGGTCTACACGCTCACAGGCTACCATGTCTCGTGTAACCCCAGGATTTTACACGTTCACAGGCTACCACGCCTCGTGTACCCTAGGATTTTGTTTTGGATCGGACACTCAAAACAACGATAGAGGAGCGGTCTACACGCTCACAGACTACCACGTCTCGTGTAACCCCAGGATTTAACACGCTCACAGGCTACCAAGTCTCGTGTAACCTTAGGATTTAACACGCTCACAGGCTACCACGTCTCGTGTAACCCTAGGACTCTAACACTTAACAGACTCTAACACGCTCACAGCTTCCACGTCTCGTGTACCCTAGGATTTGGTTTTGGATTGGACACTCAAAACAACGACAGAGGAGTGGTCTACAGTGACGTTACAGGAACATTGCATAATGCACCAGGGGCGGTGGTAACAGAACTTCAAGACTCTCGGAGTCTGTTGTCGATATCTATCATATAATATAAGTATGGTATATAACAGCAGGAGTTGGAGAATGGGGACGCGTTGTGAAAGCCACCGCAAGGAAGGCTTACAGTCGCCGCCGACCAATCAAAAGAAAGAAGACTCTTATTGCTCTACATGGTTACAGAGTAACCATAGAGGCAAGAAGGTGGACAACAAGTACAACAAGTACATTGTACAACAAGTATTCGAGACCCCTATCTATCAGAAGTATACAAAAACCTCATCCCTGCCCCTATGACGGCGCGGAGTAGATGTGTTTGAAAATTGAACCCTAAAGTGTGTATATATTTGATTGTGGATATTTCAAATAACATCGATATCGGTAGCAAATGACCATTTCCTTTACCTGTGTTTGTTTTCTGCCAATTGCTTCACATAGCCATGAGTCTATGCATACTGCATGACGCGCTTGTTTCCTGTGCTGCCGTTCAGCAGTCGCGCGCTACTCCAAGCGAGAGGGCTCTGGTTAGAACAAGCCAATTGCAACACTTGATTTGAATGAATGTATATATTGTTTGAATATCGTTTAAAATTTAATGTTTAAAACCAATCACAATCTACCACTGTATGGAGCTGGTGAAGTTCCAGCATTTTTGTTCCTCAGGCTCAGCCATCTGTTAAATTTTGCACTGCACTAACTCAAAGTAAAAGTTAAGTAAAGTAAAATATATGACATCATCACACATGTCTACAAAATATCATCGCACTATGTGAAAAAGTATATAATAAATATTTCCCCACCAACATTAACTCAACACTACATTTAATATGATGCCTGATGGAAATGTATAGCATCCTTAATATACATTATATGGCGGAGTGACAGACTGGGCACCGCCCAGTGCAGTATTAAGTATAGAAAACGTCGCAACATGAAAGAAACAAATGATAAAACGTTTTAGGCCTGGATAGAACCAAACCTGGAAAAAATGCTGCCTGGTGCACGCATTAAGCTAAGACCGGGATTATAAATTTAAAACTATTTGATTCAAACCGGACCAGAACCAAAAAGTTTAGTGTTCAGTGTTTGGTGTTGAGTAATATGTAGTACATAACAACAAATTTAACTTTTTGTAATGATTCATTATGAAACAAAAAAATGTCCAATGAAACAAAAATCAAAAATCTGGCCAACAGCCAAAAAACAATTTTTTCCTTTTTTAATTTTGCGAACCTTGAGTGTCGTTTTTAATTTTTTCGAATTTAAATTAATTAAATTAAGTCAATCACAAATTTAGCTGCCACGCCTGACGCCAGTCCCAATTAAATACAATGCACTTGTGATCATACGTTGTAGACCCACCGCGCACGAGTGCGCGCGGCTGTATCGTATAGTAGTCACGGCTGTATTGTAGTCACAATACATACACTTAGTGAAATGAAACGACAATGGGGGTCATGACGACGTGATACAAAAATGCACGTTTTAGTTTCTCAAAATAAAAACAAACAAAATATATGAATTTAACATTTAAAAAAGATCGAGCATATGACAATAATAAATTTAATTTTTGGGGTGCCGCGCGCTTTTAAAACTGGTGGTAAATCGAGCGCTATCATAAATCAAAATTTGTTCCATAAAGCTTATGATGACTGTTCAACTAATGATTAAAATGTTTATCAATCAGCTGTGTTTGGTGTTTTGTCTTACTTTTAAAAAATTCCGTGCATTACAGTATATAGTAACATGGTGAAATAAATTAAACCCGGTTTCAGATTATCTCCTACGTTTACATGATATCTTTTCTTGAAATATCTGGCACTGGTAAGGTATAACTAATAACAATTAACACTGAGAGAGTGTAATCATTCGTGGCACTTCTTAAATGCTCATGTCAGAATAACCATTTGTTTGCCTGGTGATCAAAGGCTTAAGTTTTCATAGCATTGATGGATGATATAAGTCTAATTTCTTCGAAGTAGCCCGCTGCTTTTTTTCTCGGAATATTATCATGCTCGAGGCACGAAGCTTCAAGGTAGCGTGCCGCGTGCGCCGGGTCAGTCCATTAACAATGGACAATTCGTAGCATCGTCCAGTAACAAATTCAATCTAAACTGTGATATTTTGGTCAAGGAAATGGCAGAAAAGTGCCTATTTAAAAATCGTTCAAAATTTGTCCTTGTATTTTGATGAGATTCTGTTTATCAAAGGTTTCTACTGTGATCTACCTTTGATAACCTGAAATGTGTCTTGTGCCATTCACAGTGGACACACTTATTGGTCATTGAATAAAATTCAGTCAAAATATTGACATTTTTTTTCAAGTAAAGCCGATATCTTCTGTAATTTCTGAACTACTCTTGGTAACGCAGGTTTCTTAAGCGTGCACATACGTTTATTCTTGGCCGTTAATCAGACCCATGACATAACGCTATAGGCGGCAGTGACTGTAATTTTCTACAACAATTACTGAATCATCCATCCATAAAGTGATTTACAAAATGACACCTAATCCTCGTGTTTCGGTGTTCACTTAAACGGTACTTGGCGGCTGAACTGCAACTGTGGTGTCTGATGTTTGCAGCTAGATTGGACTCTGATATTATGTATTAGCAAATTTGTATAGTGTATAATTTTTTAGTGTTTATCATACTCTGCAACCTGGTAGCGCGGCTGACACAAAAAACAAAATGTTGGCCTGGCTTACATAACCAAGTAAATAACACGCACTCCGATAAAAGCCGTCTGGAGAAACTCCGCAAAATGTTCATTGTAGTCAACGGGCACAAAGAAGCACTACTAGCAATTGTGTCCTTTACCCTCCTACCTAATTTGAACATTTTCGTGGCTAACTCATTGAACAGCATCTGAAAAATTTGTTTTACTAACAAAGTGTTTATCCGATTATATTATGTTTTATTGAAACAATGTACTTTTTAATTGAATGACAATTCAGGAAATGTCTGAACGTTCAGAGGAGTCAATCGGTTTGTGTCTCTCAGAGGACAAAAGCAGACTCACTCTATCTGATGAAACGGGAGAAGCTAAGACAAACAAATCCATATCTGTTGAAAGTTTATCCTTGACTAAAATTTCAGCTGCCAATACTGGTATTTTCACTTCAGAGCACCAGCCAGTCTTTATCACAGTACCATATGACGAAGACCAAGAAAGACCTACTAAGATGTTAGAAAACCCTCCTAATTTTCTGTCAGTGTCACATCACAACACCTCAACCAGTGGAGTCACACCAAGTGCTACTGCTACCACTCTGGAGGGAACTCTTGATGATATTCCTGATTTTCAGGAGATGCTTCCTCTAACCTCTGTTGTTGTGACCAAAAAAGATCAAGATGTAGATGAAAGTGTAACCCCGGAAAGTTCTCCAGCGAAAGACTCTAATTACAATCAGTCCTTATCTCCGCCATCTGGCCTACTGTTGAACACAAAAGAAAAGTTGCTTACATCAGAAGCAAGGTTTATGCAAGAGGTTAAGCGACAGAATACTACCAAACCAACATCGTCTATTAAATCGTTTGCTTCTAACACAGCCCCCAAAACATCAACATCAGGAATAACAGTTGTTGAAGTTAAACCTCCCAGAAAACCAGATGGAAGAGTAACAGGGAGCGATGTAAGCAGACAAACTAATCCTGAACATTCTATTGGATCCATCAAGTCTGACACAATGGGAGATTTTTCTGCTTCTGTTTCCAACTCTAGTTTCTCTACTTCTAGTAGGCCCAGTGATATGACTGTTTTCAAGACTTTTAATCCAGACTGGCCAGTAAGAGAGAAGCCATTTCTATTGCATATGCCAAATTTGGAGGATACTGAGAATAACAGCACTTCTCACGGCCACCGACGTCCAAGAAAAGTTCTCGGTAATATGAATACGTCAAGTAATAATCAGAAAACAAAATCTACTAAAAATTGGAAAGCTTTGGAGAGTAAAAGTCGTTCTGTCGATACGAGAACTCCAACTCCATCCAATAACAGTGATTCTAGCTTATCTTACGAAGCAGCATCTAAAAAACGAAGGAAGAAACAAGTTGTTAACTACATGAACGAAAACGGTATAAAACAGATAGTAAAGGAAGAAATGACAGCTGTTGTTAGTATGCAAAATGAGATTTGGCATAAAATTTTAGATTCTTTCGTCGACAAAGCATTAAAGGGCAATGAGAACCATGTTCAAAGTGAGGCTCCTCGTGTGAAACCATCTCAATCAGGAATGGTCATGCTCCAGTTACCCAAGGATGAACCAGAACCATACACTTTCTATAAGCCACTTAAAATCCCAATTTTTAAGTCAGGTGACGAGGCGACTAGACAGGGTCCTATGTTTCTGCAATTGCCTACAGAAGAAGATGAAATAGATGAAAAGGTGGCTCCACTCAGTATCAAAATTGAACAAAAAACTAGCTCTGAAGAAGTTGTCGCACCAGTTCCAGCTGCATCACACCTTGATGTTTCTGTTCAAACCAGCAACTCTGTTGCACAAACACCAGAGTGTGTAGAAGTGGGTGTGCAGCCTGATTTAGAAATTGAAATCACACAACCCTCTAAACAACCCTCTAAACATGAAACAAACCCAGTTCACGGATCTGAAAATCTTCCAATAAAGCAAAACTTGATGAAACCTCTTAGTGAGAATCTAGAATATCAGAAGACTGTAAATAAACAGGAAATACCTCTAAAAGTTATGGAGGAATGCAAGATGTTGCTTGAGAGAATCCAGAATTCAGCAAATGAGCTCAAAGCAATTAGAAAAGACAACACGGTATCACGTAAAGCCACGGCTGAAACTCCCGAGGAGCAGTCATTTGTTCCCAGCAAAGAAGAAAAACAGTCATATATCAAATCGAAGCATGAAATATTCTTGGAAAAATTTTTCGATGAAGAACCAAGCAAAAAGAAGGGAAAAGCAAACAGGTTTATAGACATAGTAGATCTTCCTCAAAGCACTACTAACTCAGGTCATTTCGACTTATTGAGAAGAACATCTCTTACAAGAAAACCGGAATCAGAATTCCTTCATATAACTGATATAAGTGATCCCAGAAAGACCCATAGTGTAGATAAGCGTCTCAAAGTTGAAAGAGGTCATGGTGCAAGGGCGTCTAAAAAAGAATTGCAACATAAAAAGAAGGGAAAAGATAAAAAACCTGATAAAATCGACGGTGGACTAAGAACCAAAGACGTATTTGCTCCCAAAAGAGAAATTCCAAGAAGTCTAGAACTAAACGTAGAGTCACCTAGATCTCGTAAATCTTCAGCGGTTGATGAGCCAGCTAGCCCCTCAGCTCACTCAAAGAGATCAGACGATGATCTAATTCCTGAAGCTCCTCCTTCACCTGGCGAGGTGGCTGACTACAAGTCCCAATCTATGTCGTCAATTGGTAAATATCTGTCACAGAAAGACGACGAAGAAATCTCAGTGTCTGATAAAACAATTGAGAATGAAGAACCAATGTCTGAAGAACCAATGTTTGAAGAGGGGGATACTTTATCTTCACAACCTTGTAAATCACCTGATTTCATTCTTGAGGCTAGAAATCACTCCACTCCGCAAAAGGAAATTCCTGAACGCCACACAGCACCAGCAAGCGAGGTAGAATCAAGAGTTTCCTCAGAGTCTTATCAGCCAAAACCGATCGACCCTACCCAGTTCAGTCGATACATTGAAGACAACCTGTCAAAAATAAAGCAAGCTTACAGCGAAAGTCAACAGAAAGAAGTCGACAGAACAAAGAAGATCAACATGCTCCTCCAAAATCGGGGCACCGTTCAAAGTGCTGCCAAATCCACATCCAATGTTACTCGACCAACTCCAATCCGTCCGTCACCCCGGCTCAAATCAGAAACAGTAACTCTGATAAAAGCTCCCAAATTTATCATGAGCAGAGACCCACCCAGCCAGATGAATCCCTGCTGATACGACCCAGCAGTAAAGCATCTGGTGTGAGCAGCGATACGTCACTCCCTACCAACACTGACGATTTATTGAGAGCGGCACTTGATAGTGATAGTACCATGCCACCAGAGCCAAGACCAACTAAGCTTGCTGCGGAAAAACCCAGAAAACAGATCAGTAAAAAGAAGACTGCACATAATCATGTGAGTATGAGTTAGTGACTATTTCTTAGGAAGTGAATCACTTTAATAGTTTAATCGTTTAAGCTTATTGTTTATTTACTGTTATGTATTAAAATCTATATGCTTACTGTTTCGATAGCAATGTTTAATTAGAACTTAAGTTTACTTAAAACAGAGTTTAGTTAAGTGCTCTTAGCGTCATCTTGTGACTTGTTGTAATATGTTTATTTTGTTCAAGTCGGTCGACATTCGACCTGCTATTAGATACAGTTATCTTTTGTTTGAAAACTGTCAGTTACAATTTATCAGTTTTCTTATTGTGAAATGTAACTTTTACAGGATAAAAAGGAATTGGAGATGTGGACAGAAGAAAAGCGAAAAGCAAGAATGTTGGAGTTTAAGAAAGAACAAGATGAAAAGAGAAAGCAAGAATCTCGACCTTATCAGAAACCAAAAACCCAACCTACACCTCCGTAAGTTGAACTGCATTTGTCGGGACTAAATAATTTTATGCTTTGTCTTTATTTTTAGTAGCTTTAGAAGATGAGAATCCTGAGAAATAAGGGCAGCATCCAAGAAACCCGTATGGAAGTTGGTTGGAATATAGGCTACCGGAAAACTTCCCCCAGTTTCGACTTTTCCTAGACTGGGTAATTTAACTCCGCAATAAGAGGTACACTTTAGTATTTATAAGATATGAACCAAAGCCCCTCCTGTGTGTTTGTGTGGACGAATGTGCTGAGACCCACTAACTAATAGGCGTGGTTTAAAAGAGACATGGGTGTAGCCAGCGGCTGTAAGATATTTAAACGCTTCCCCTTCGTCCGTGTTGATGATATAATCACATGGAATGGCTGGGCTTCTTGGATACTGCCGAAATAAGACGACATTACCCTAAATTGACGCAAGTCTTTACTACTTTATTGATACAAGTCTTTAATACAATTCTCTTATTTGTATAATAGTGGTGACTGTGAAATAAACAGTTTTGTTCAGGAGGAATGAGTTCGACAGAAAAGCAGCTATACTAAGAAGACTCAATGTGGCTGAGGAACTGTTCAATGACATACAAAAGACACCTAAACCTGTGGTAAGAAAATTATTCTAAGCTACCGAAAAAGATATAACTTGAAAGTAATCAAGTCAAGACTTAACCTTCTAGTTTTTATTAAAGGATATATTAATTTCTATAAAGTCCTTGTTTGATATGAGGTTTTGAATGTTAAATGCTGATTATTTACAGGTAGCAAAGTCAGGACCATTTAAAGATAGAACAACAGAGTGGGTACATGGACTTAACATAGAGGAGTTTGACTCGATACACTCACAAGCTTTTACATCTGAGCGTGGTGCCTCAGAAATAACCGAGGGCATTTCTCTACCTTGAAAGCTTGTTGTGACTAACACTTCAATAGTGAAATCTATTAGTTATTGTAATGTTTTATTCTGATAATGTCTAGCATATGTGATTTTGAATCTCTGTCGAAAATTTTATTAAAGTATTTATGTCCGTCGCTTTGGTACTGATTATTGGTATGTTAACATAATGTAAATTTTGTTTTGACTATCTATACGATTGAGAAGATGGCTTGTTATCGAGTGTTTACTGTTTAATGTTTACTGTGACAAGATAAAGTTATGTATTTCTTCTGAATTTGTAATTGACTTAAGTGTATTCAGTTGTAAGAAAGTATTTAAACTCTCTTTGTTCTGATGACTAGGAAATGAGGAGCTGTATTGATCGACCAGTTCGTTTAAATCACTAATCGTATATCGTTTAAAGCCGGTACCACGACAATATAACGTTTTACGTAGCGCGCTGCGCATTTAAAATATAACAAATGCACTTTTCGGCCCGTAGTGTAGCAAAATTCACTAATTTAAGCAAGCTAGCTGTACGTGCGCGTGGATATCGGCCATTCGATTCGTTCGATCAATGCGCGGCGGAAGAAGGCACGCACGTGGGAAATAATTTAACTGGTGTTCACGTTTACCGCTTGTATTTCGTTGCAGCTCCGTTTTGCGTCAGGTGCAGTGTCCCATTTTTAATTGTTAATTTTTGCATACGTTACACAGTTAGCTTTCGAAATTGGTAGTGTTTTATTATGTATTACATATTATCCTATTATATTTAATGATCATAATTAATTATGATCACTCTACAGCTACACTCGATCGTCACTCGAGTATCACGTGACTTACTTAAACACTTTCTCTAGATTTGATGGCCCTTAGAGACATTCAAAAGTTAAACCTAATCTACTCCATACTCGGACCCCAAATTAACATGGTACGGTCCTGTTTGATGTCACGTCACACGTGATCGATCGAAGCAGTTTTTCGCCAGGGCCGGAGCATTTTTTGTTTTTACCTTATGTCATATTATATGGGGTGATGGAAAACAATCAATTGTCGGGATTGGACAAAAATATTTATTGAAGTTCGAGCGTAGATGGTAGAACTGAAGTGTGAAGTGTTTTGGCACGCATTGCTGATTTTGATTCTAATTCTATTAATTATATGGTCATTTCACCGGGAAATGCAATTCACGTGACCAGTGACATTCAAAGGCCGGCCGCTAGCTATTTTTTAACTCAGCAGTATCAAAAACGCGACGGAAATTGTGTTTTACATTTTTAGAAAACATCTTAAATCTCAGTCATTCTCATGCAAATCATTTTATTTAATCATTTAATTATTTATGTCGCTTATAGTTTGCCTTTTGCGGTCTCGCTGCTCGCAATACGCGTACTCATGGGCCATGGCATCGCCGCATCCGGCATCCCCTCCGCTTGCCCGGCTAAGCTACGACTTCATTTATCAGACTATGATTCAGGCAATGTCTGACAAATTGTGCTTGTCCCAGATGTCACGTGGATGTCAAATAGATATATACTGATCGTGATTAAAACCGGGTACAGTTAGTCAATTAGCTATTTCCACTCTGTACTGCACTGTACAGTCACTGTATCTGCTTCTAGGCAGTTGGGACCAGGGACGACGGACGTGGGGGAAACGGTACGTCTAAACTTTAGCTTAGAAGTTAAGGACATCGGCGCGCTGCTTCATTATGTTATTAGTAGATTTTCTTAGTTGTTTAATACATAACTTTACGCAGTGCACTTTCGTTTTTCTGATCGGTTTAAACTGTTAATTAAAGTATGAGCTGGAGGAGTCGAAATACCTGTTCCAAACACTGGAATTTGAAACTATGAAATGACAAATTCCAGGTAAGTACAAGTTTATCTAATTTGTTTTGCTCATAACTTCGTGGGTCACCTATTACTTTCTTAGCAGTTTGATAATTATAAATAATCATAGTAGTTAGCAGATAAACGAAAATAATTTGACGTCATTTCTCCAAAAAACTTCCATTTCCAGAATCTGAGAACTTCCATTTCACAAATTTCCGGAGTCTGAGACCGGTATTGCAGTTCATTTCTCTGAATTTATTAAGGAGGATCGTGTTATCTTAATAACTTTAAGGCAGACTTAAAATTAAATTTAGATGAATGGGCTCGTTCTTTTATACAGTATTAAGTAAGCTTTTCTTTATTATAATATCTTTAATCCGCCATCAGGCCACCTGTTAATATTTTCTTTGTCATTTATCAGGTCTGTCGTTACTGCTTTGCTCGCCAGTATCGTCTTTAAAGAATTTCGCTTTCTTCTAATGGTACTTACCACAGGGGCTCCGTCACCCCCTGCGATTTAACTCAGAAAAAGTTTTCATTGCCAAATAAATTTTCAAATATCACATCTCATGTGTCATTCATATTGGGGCGTCTGATAATATAATTAAAATTTTACTGGCTTACTGCTTACGTTATCAAGGCTTCAACACGTGTAATGTGACCATAAACTGATAAACCATAGCCAAGGACTCTTCTAGAAGGATCTAGTCATTCGGATGTAGTAGAATACACGCTCAAGCCTCAAAGTCTGACTCAATCATTTGGCGATGAAGTGGCTCTATTTGCGTTCTAATTAATTAGGCCTCTTCAGTATTTTTAGACATATGTTTTATATTCACTTCTGGAATATATTAATTAGTTCAAGCAGATGTGATAGTATGTACATTATTTCTAGAAGAAAGAAAAAACAAGATTTCCATAACATTCAATAAATCTAATCAAATTGAAGATAAAGGTCACATGTGTTCTGTATTTTAATAAAATTTGTTAATCTTTCGAAAATAAAAAATGTCTTAACTCTTACCAAAAATATCAAATAAAATGCTATACCATTAATGCTACACCATTAAGAAGAATTCGTTGTTTTTTAAATCGCAAAAATCAATCATATTTCAAAACAATCTTTAAAACTACAACCTTAAAATCACTGCAGTCTACGCAGTGCGGGTCACGTCTTTTCTACAGGAATTTCTGACGATTTCCCCCGCTGTGAATTATACTGACCAACACACAGCGGGGGAATCAGTGAATTCTTTTCACCATAATTCACCAGGATCTGATTCACTGAAAGTCTAACAATCCATGATGGTCACCAATAGTACAGTAATCTGTCGAAATTAAGTGCGCAGGGAAGTAAAATAGTCTGCTACTCTGTTTTCTTTGTATGAAGAAGGACTAGTGTAAACCAAAGAACTCGTCCCCAACTTTAACAGGCTTCTTATACTCTTTCTTGACGTAACCAGCTGCTTGTTTACCCTGGGGGAGATTGCTACGTTAATAAACTACTATAAAAGGTTTCCGATGAATCGAATTTGATTACCGCCTGTCTTCAGCAAAACCATACCACTTAAATCACTCAATGTTCATTATTTTGATATCGTTAACCATAAAGACAATGTAATTGTAAATATAATAGAAACATGCCCCCCGCCCCCCCCCCCCCCCCTGATAAAGATTACTCAATACAACTAACCTTATTCACTGGTTTGCTAAGAGCTAAGCTAGCTAGAGGGCTGAAACCACTGTTCCTGTGGCTGGTACTATCACCGGAGCAATTCTGGAATGTCCGGGTGTTGGCTGTGGTGTTCAGTTTGGGGAGCGGGGCTTTGGATGCCGTTGTTTTAAGAGATGTGGCTACTAGAAGGAAAAATGACATTAGCTGAGGATATTGGTGAAGGGTTAGTTTCAGAAATTTGTAGGAGTGATTTTTGTGACAGGACTCGTAGCACAAATAATAAAATGCGATTGTCCATCAGTGTAGAGGCAAATAAAATCGAGTGGACAAGCTGTCGAGATAATATTACCTAGATAAACAAATTGGGTGTGCATACTGGGTAATACTATTGCTACGTTATTTATAATGAAATCTACTGCCTTGTGATTGTTAGCCAAAAGGCATAATTTGACAAAAAGTGGCTTTTGAAAAATAGCCTTAAATTAATTAACGGCTTTATAATTAAAAAAAAAGAAAACATTCAAATTCTGGCTGACATCCTCACAAAACCATTGAAGAAAAAAATCCATCGAAGAAAAAAATCTAGATCTTGCCTTATTTAAACCTTTAAATTCCGACTTAAAACGAGACAAATAGCCTAGACTGAAACCATATATTTATAAAATTGACTGTTTCCTGGAAATGTGTTAAATATTTGATTGATATCCAATCAAGTAACACCTAGTCAAGAACCGAATATTGAGGTGGGATATCCAGCCAGAGCTGGATTCAGCCTTAAATCAAATACTATGAATTATGATAACCTGAGTAGAGGGTGTGCAGCTGGACCATGAAAAGTGAAAGAGGCAATTTTAATTTCACTACAAATATTCTCGCGAACTACATTGAAGAACTGAAAGCATCCAAATTCAGGCTAGCGAATCATGATCAGCTCTTAACCAAACAAAAACCTTGATGACTAAGAAAACGATTTAAATACTGGCCTTACAAAACTTTGAAAATTCGACTTCAAAGTAGAAATGGAACTACTCGTACCGCATTTAGGAGCCAACCAAACTTTACCAGCAAACTCATATTGACGTGTCACCAATCCAGGCATCGGAGCTGAAACTACAGGTTAAAGCAGGGACAGACAGGACACGTAACAAACACCCGAAATCAGGACGAAATTGATGAATTGGCATCGTAGGCTGCACTTCTGGTGGACCTAGCTACAAGCTAGCGTGCAGCTGGCATGCGAGTGGCGTGATCACGGCGTGGACCGGTACTCCTAGTTCATAACTTGTCATCCAGAACATTCCACCGTTTCCATCTCTCCACAGTGAAAAAACCACTGCTGAAGTGCTGGTGCAAGGTTTTGATGAGGTCTCGGTATAGTGTTCCGTGTTCATAAGCAATAACTCAATAGCTGGTTAAGTGTATACGTTTGTAACATTGTTCTTTGTAATACAATAGCTATTAGCGCACAGTAATGATTACTTGGCAAGAACAGTGGTTGAACTTAAAGAAAGCATCGTACTACACAGATTATGATTTTGATACGATAGTGTGGTCATTTTCTGATAATAAATGGCTTTATTTAAAATGAACAGTCTGAGATTAATTTAAACGAAAACATGTTAACATAATCATAGTTTTACCGTTCAAGGTTAATTCAGTATCGACCTATAATAGAGCTAGAAAATGTATAATCGTACTCGGTTTTCATACGGTTATGATGTGGACTCGGTTAGATTGACTCTATTGTTGAATGGCTGTGTTATGTGAGCATCATATTATGCACTTGAGTTTTCTGTTCGATCACTGGTCAGTGGCGTAACGAAGGGCCCT